TATTGTTGTGATTTTTAATTCGAACAATACTTTTGATACAAATTTATTATTTAATCCCTATAAAAGAGAGAAAATTTTACTTGTTAAGGATATATATACATTTTGAGATAGATTTTCAATATTTTTTAAAACGCACTTATAAAGATAGTTTCCTTTCCAAGATCGGATCGACCTGGCTTCAAATTCCATGTGCAGAATAAACAAATAAATTAATATAATTAGATCGGTATTCTACTTTTAAAATATAAAACGTATACATATAGATCCAAATGACCAGGAATTGGATTATGATTTGATTAGGCATAAGTTTTAAAATAATGAGGGATGGGCTAAGCTTTAAGTAGAGTTAACGTGACCTTTCGCACAATTAAAGGACAAAATGACTCTTGATACTTATTTAAAGAGCAATTATGATTAAAACAAGGGAGAAAATATAAATAGTTCATTCATCAACAAACTTCAATGCTTTATTGGTCTATTTCAAACATTGGAAATTATACACATGGAATATTCGATTGACCCAATTAAGTCGTTATATTAAACTAATAAAAAGAGTATAGTTGTAACTTTCTATACGACCTAACCTTTAATTAATTATCACCTTTCTGTATATATACATGTCTTAAGTACGTGCTAATCTTGATTTAACCCTTAGCAAAATGTTTGACATTGTGAAAATTAATTTTAGACTAATAAATATGAAGCCTTGTGAAGATTCTTCGTGACTAGTGACTAGCTAGGTAGAATAACCGAAAAATAATACTAAAAAAAACGTTTGACAATAATCAGATAATTATAAATTAAACGATTTGAACTTTCATCACAACTATAATAATTATTAAGAGTTATTTACAATTTTACAGATATGTTTCCGAAGATCTGTATCTGTATACTATTTGAAGGTCATATTCATCACCAAAAGTCGTAAGATGTCAAAAGCAAGTAGGTGACCTTATCTCACAACGAGAATAATCTTTCAACATTTGCCCTAATTTTGGTATTAATGGGCCAAAATATCTGAATTTGGGCTTACGCCCATCTTTAGTCGTAAACATCTCCAATATAGTGATATATTCATGCAGTATGCTTATTACTACTATGCATTCTTTTTTTTCTAAACATCTAATCATTCGAACCAAAACAGAGCTTAGACTGTGTCGAACCCTGCATCTGCTATTCTCAGTCAGGTCCGGTTCGCAAGTGAAGCGACCGCTTAGAGCCTCACATGTTTAGAGGCTAATTTGTGTGGAAAACAAAAAAAGTGATTAACACAATAACATAAGAGAAAAGTACGATCTTTTAATTTTGCGCAAGGCATCCAAAAACATTGGACCGACACTGACTCGCGTCTACCATTTGTCGTATAAGCGAGCTTCGATAGGCTTTACTCCATCAAAGCTAGATTAAAAGGGTTCCAAGAATTATCCCTTGACCACCAAAGTAATGTGCAGTAACATAACACGAACTCTCGTATATTTATCCCCTGAAAAGTATATTAACAATGATGATGGTGAGAAAGTTATGTTCTCATTAATTTTATTGGATCTTAACCTGCTTTGTAACTCTAAATTTAGGTTTAGCCTCTCACAGACCCATTTGAGCTTTTTGATAAAGGTTTTTATTTGTAGGAACAATTTGGTGTATAACCAAAAAAAAAATTATAATTAAAAAAGTAATCAAAATGGCATATGTGGCAAAATCATAACCATTGGATGTATGTTTTTTAGTCACTTTTTTAGTTATAATTTTTTTTGTTGATTATTCAGCAAATTAACCCTTATCGTCCAACTTTAATTTAATATTCTATGAATACCTTGTAACAAAAAAAAATATCAAACCTGCTAAGTAAAAGAAACAAAAAATTTAGAGTTTGTAAAATCAGAGTATATATATTATTGCACAATCAGACAACTTATATCCGATGGCAAAGAATTTTATCATATTATCACACACCTAAATTTGTTCATACCTCAAAAAAAGGCCAAACAAAAAACTAGTAAAAATACTACACACAATAATCTCAGCCCAAAAAAAGAGAGTATAAAAATCTGTACAATTGATAAAAATCTTCTTCTACAACTTGAATCGAAGCTCTTGTTCTCTTCTTGTGGGAATGTAAGGAATGAGATTAACAATCTTTTCACCTTTTGGAAAAACCAACTCTGTTTCAACAGGAATCCTCTGTAACATCATGAAATCGTTTAGCTTCTCATACTTAGCCATGTTTTTAGTTACTTCCTCTCTCTCTTTCTTGAATAACGACATCCAAGTGTCTTCTTTCGATGGTAGACTCTTCCTCGCGGCTGCTAATGCACGCCGCAGAATCCCGATCGCTTCGCCTACTTTCCCTTCGGATTCGAGCAATACCGCTAAGTGTTTTTGGCTCTTTAGCTCGTGTAAGGCTCTCATTATTGATATATATTCCTACATGATCATATATCATTCATTATAAACCAAGTAGAGATTTTGCTACTTCATCGAGGTTCTATGGAATATCTAAAGCAAATTCCTATCAAGAAACAGAGGATCTAAGGCATTCAAGTGAACCATCTAAATTCAAGTGTATTTTTTAGATACCAACTAGATGAGTTTAATGGTGCAAGAATCGCTTTGTTCTTCATATTCAGTTAATTTCTACGGATAGGCGACTTACGAGAAACCGAGAAGATAGGTCTTTACATTCTCCGTTTGCTCTAGAAGACAGATGAGCATCGGCTTCAGAAAGCATTTGTGTAATTCCATAATGAAGTTGCGACAATAGCGTCGCGCTTTTTCCGCTTTCTTCAGCCTTATTCGTAGTTACAGCCTATTAACAAAGTATTAGCATCACTTTTTTTGTTACTTCCCTCCTCTGCAAGAACACACCGAGAGCGATAAATGAAGAGTCACTGACCTGACCTTCAGCTAAACAGAGGAGGCTCAAGGCAGTGCAAAGCGGAGAAGTTAGTTCGGGAAGCTTCCCTGGAGGCAATGAAGGTTTTAAAGAAGGAAGAAGCTCATGAGACAGATGATGGAAAACTCCAGATGCTTCGCGGTAAAGTTTTACCGATTGCTTAATGTCTGTTTGTAATCAAGAGCAAAAACTATGGTATATATGCAAATAGAAGTAACACAAAGATTGGTATTTCAAAGACTTTATATACCTGTGGATACTAACTCCATTGCTTTCTCACGGAGCTTGATTGCGTAAAGGTAAAGTACCATCCCAAGCTCGAACATTATGTTATCGACTTGGAAGAATTTCGGACATTTTCGCTGAATTATCGTTTGCGAGATTAAGCCGCTACTCCATCTTATCTTAAGATCCGAAACACGGTTGATCTGATCAGCGTAATGTACCAAGTTGAAGAGTAATGGTAAGTATTGTTCAAGCTTATGGAGATCCTGAATACAAAACAAAATTGAAAAATCAATCTCTAAGCAAAGTTAAGCGGAACGAAGAGGAGTTTTTACTTGGTCACAAGAAGAAGTTAGTCCTCTGTTCATCTCTCTTGCAGTAGCATCAGTGACATTGCTGGTTCCGTTAACAGATTCTTCGATTGCTTTACGCTTAGAGCTTATGTCTTTGAATTCTGTTAGTGTGGTTGGACCATTAGCTTGTAACGATTTCTCGAACAAAATCTGTTTTTTTTTTCAGGT